TGGAGAAGAGCTCCCCGGAGGCCTGCCTCTCAGGTGGGCCCCCGCCTCCATCCCCAGAGCTGGGGGTTAGGGTTAGGGTTAGGGTTAGCCCTAACCCTAACCTTCTGGGGCCTGTAGTGGCTCAGACCAGCAGAGAAATGGTCCCTCAGGAGAGGGAAAATAGACCCCTTTAAAATCCATAAACCCAAAGATTCTCTTAAAACACCACAAAACACCACAAAACACACAAATCGAACATGAATTATCAAAGAACAGGCAGGTTTTGGAATTTTTTCCTTATTTTCTTGTTGTCTACTTTAGGCAATTTTTTTTGTTCATTTTTTTATCTTATCTCTCCATTTTAAATCTTGAATGAAGTCCTCTCAGTTTGAGCTTTATACAGAGTGAGGGTTAAATCTACAGGGGGACTGAAAGGAAAAGCCCCTGAGGCTCACAGAACCCTTTCTCTGGTTGTTTCCTGCAGAAGGAGGGTTAGGGTTAAATCTACAGGGGGAAATGAAAGGAAAAGCCCCTGCGGCTCACAGAGCCCTTTTCTCTGGTTGTTTCCTGCAGAAGGAGGGTTAGGGTTAGGGTTAAATCTACAGGAGGAAATGAAAGGAAAAGCTCCTGAGGCTCACAGAACCCTTTCTCTGGTTGTTTCCTGCAGAGGGAGGCCGCCGCCCGTCGGAACCGTTCTGCAGAGTGATCTTTGAGAACGAGCAGGAGGACCCGGCCACGCCCGGCCGCCGGCGCCGCAGCCTGGTGAGCTCGGAGCCGCAGCACGTCACGCTCATCGTGTTCGGCATCGGCATGGTGAACCGCACGCACCTGGAGGCCGACATCGGCGGGCTGACCATGGAGGCCGAGCTGAAGAAGATCCACGGCAGCTTCACGCTGAAGGAGAAGATGAAAGGTGCCCAAAGAGAATCAATCACTCCCCTTCAGGACTCAAAAACACTACAAAACTACCTTTGATTCGATTTGATCACAGCTCAAGATAAACAAACTCACTTTGCCATAAATTATTATATTCTATTTTTCTCAGATTTTCCTACAAAGTTGAATGGCAGTCAGTCGAATTTTTAGCTCATCAGATGTTAAATAATAATTAATAAGTTGTCCTCCAGCTCAAAGTAGCTGTTTCCTAAAGCAGGAAGTCTAAAATGATCCACAGCTCTGAGTTCCAGCTTTTATTCGACTGCTTTCAGCACAAAGTTTCCTTCATTTTTTAAATATTATGGAGCTCATTTCCATTCTGGAATGATCAGTGATCTGGATTTATCAGACAGGCTATTCCCTCTGCGACCACAGGGTGGAGCTATACTGCCACATTTATCCCAGTTTGGAGTGAAAAACAGTCAGTCCTTTTATTTGTTGGTTTATTTGTCCAAATCTGCCACATTTCCACAATTATAGCTAATGTCATCTGATTTTTGGGAGGGATTGGACTCACAAAACAAACTGTTTTTTCTTAATGTATGTGGAGCCTGATGTGTTTATCTTTGGATTAACTCCTTAAAAAGCTGAGTTTTGTGAATTTAAAAGAGTATTTTGAGATTATTTGATAGTTACCAGCGTCCAGTGGTGAAAGTGGTCAGTCCACTACCTCCCTAACAGCTTTTAACATTTAGAACCACACGATTCCCCCGCAGAAAAACCGAGCTGGCCATTTGTTGAGGGGCTGAGCTTTTTGCATCGCGTATCAGTCCATAAATGCACCGTGTTGAGGGGACTGGGATGGGATGGACGGGCCCTGACCAGCAGAGTCTGTCCGGTGTGGCTCACGGCTCTCTGTGGGTTGTGTTTGCAGACATCCTTCACCAGAAGATGACGGAGACGTGTGCGTCTGCTCACATCGGAGGAGTGAACATCGTCCTGCTGGAGGGGATCACGCCCGACATTCAGTGTGTACCCGCAGATGAACTGGCTGAGTCAAAGACTAATGTTTAATTCCACTTCAGTCATCTTAGGATGATGGTTTTTTACCCAAAAAACGAGCAAAGATGTGATTTTTCAAATCTCATGAACCAATATTTCTTTCAAGTTAGAACAAAGAACATATTTAAGTGTTTAAATCAGACTCTTCAGTTTTAATAAGGAACTAAACGAGTTAGCTTAAAAAGTGAGAGGAGTTGAAAAGAAACATCTGGAGGAGCAGGTTGGTCCACCTTAAAGAGGCAGAGTCACTCAGAGGTGAAAAAGGGATTATTTCCTTTGCTATAAAACAACATCATTCAGAGATGTTTCTGGGACCTTTTCGCCCTGCAGCTCTCTGCAAAAAGCAGATCTGAATCTGTCCTGAAATCTCTGCCCAGGTGGAGGAACTCTCCCAGAAAAAGCCAGATCCCCAAACTCTGCCGACGGCTCTGGACCAAAGCTGGTTTTGGTACAATGGGAGGGAAACTAATATTCCTCTCCTGCTGCAAATGTAGGTCACAGTAATAAAAAGTCACCTTAAAAAAGGCAGAATTGGTTATTAACATCCAAAGAGAGTCCTGTGGGACTGAAACCGGTCAGAAGACGTCCAGTTTCTGGTCCCAGAGCCTGGATCTCTGATGAGGTGCATACAGCAGAAAACCTGAGCCTGTCGGATATTAGCCGATGTTTTCATGGTCAAACACGGCTCTCATTAGGAAGAATATTGGTTTATGAGATTTCAGCCTCCCAGGTTTCTGTAAATCAAAGTCTGTGTGTTCACTAACCTGGGGCCTCTGTCAGGATGTGCTTCTGTAGGTTTCTCAGATCTGATTCCCCTCGTTTCTGCTGCTTTCTCTCCCACTACTGGCATAGACTGGAGGATTTCCCCACGTCTCCCACCAGCACTGCTAAGCAGGAGTTTCTGTATGTTTCTGCTGCCGCTCTGCTCCTTTAACCCAAAAGCACAACTGTGTCGCCTCACATCCTCCATCCGTCTCCATCCGCCACTCCTCCCATCGGTGCCGCTCATTCTGATCCTTTTCGCCATTTCAGAGACACGATTGGACCTTTTTTAGAAAAGTGTAAAAATGAGTGGGCCAACCTCCCACATCTCATGTAGGCAAAAGCAGTCAAACTGGCCGCTATCAAGGGGCCAAATCCACCAAATTCTGGTCGTTTTTGCCCACAATTTAAACTTGGATGTGAGGATTGTGACTTTAGCTGGTGGGTGCTGCTTTCCTGCCTTTTATTCGTGGCCTTATTGACGGGCCCGTTCATGGTGTTGTGGTCATCTGCCCCCCCCCCTTTCCTTCACTGTCATTCATCCTCCCGTGGTCTGGGGGTCAGAGGTCGCGCGGCTCACTGGGTGTGGGCCTCTGTTCCAGGACGGTGGTGAAATGCAACATTGCGAAGTCTCAGGCTCTGTACAGCGCTCAGCGCGGGCTGCGCACCAACAACGCGGCCGTGTTCCGGCTGGGCTCCATCCTGATCAACATCCCGCAGCACCCGGCCACGCTGCACAGCATGATGGTGCGCAGCTCGCACCAGCTCTCCAAGCAGATCTCCGACCTCATCCGCCAGCCCGCCGCCGCGTACGACACCGTTACCGTAGCAACGCCCCCCCGCGGCCAGACTCGCCCGACTCACCCTCTGCTCTGCTTCCAGCCCACCGCCCCACCGGGAGGACACGCCCACCCCCCAGCCCCCCGACCGCGCCTCCAGCTTCAACCAGACGCCCGTGGAGGCCAACGAGTTCCCGCAGCTGCCCGAGGGCCTGGAGAAGAAGCCCATCGTGCTCAAGTTCAGCGCCATGATGGACGGCATCACCATCGGCGCCGCGCTGCTGCCCTCGCTCAAGGCCGAGTACAAGATGGGCCGCATGAAGAGCCACGGCATGACGGGTGGGTGGGGGGGGTTAGGGTTAGGGTTATCAGAAAGGAAAGTCTGATCGGAAAGGTATAAGGTTTTGGTCATTTATCTCTGGTTCTATTTCATCCCTACTGACCGCCAGAGGCGGTGCTTCAAGCACCGCCTCTGGCGGTCATCTGGGATTCATAGAACCGTAGTTACGGTAGTAACTTTCGTTTCTTAGGGTTTGGGTTTTCTATCTCTGGTTTCTTAGGGTTTGGGTTTTCTATCTCTGGTTTCTTAGGGTTTTGGTCATTTATCTCGGTTTTGTTAGGGTTTGGGTTTTCTGTCTCTGGTTTCTTGGGGTTTTCTACCTCTGGTTTCTAAGGGTTTGGGTTTTTATATCTCTGATTTCTTAGGGTTTTCTATCTCTGGTTTTTTAGGGTTTGGGTTTTCTATCTCAGGTTTCTTAGGGTTTTCTATCTCTGGTTTCTTAGGGTTTTCTATTTCTGGTTTCTAAGGGTTTGGGTTTTCTATCTCTGGTTTCTTAGGGTTTGGGTTTTCTATCTCTGTTTTTTTTGGGTTTGGGTTTTCTTTCTCTGGTTTCTTAGGGTTTTATATCTCTGGTTTCTTAGGGTTTTCTATCTCTGGTTTCTTTGTGTTTTCTATCTCTGGTTTCTTGGGGTTTTCTATCTCTGGTTTCTTAGGGTTTTCTATCTCTGGTTTCTTAGGGTTTTCTATCTCTGGTTTCTTAGGGTTTGGGTTTTCTATCTCTGGTTTCTTAGGGTTTTCTATCTCTGGTTTCTTAGGGTTTTCTATCTCTGGTTTCTTAGGGTTTGGGTAATTTAACTCTGGTTGTTTAGGGTTTGGGTTTTCTATCTCTGGTTTCTTAGATGTCTATAGGTGAGAATCATCTGCATACAAGCGAAGTCTGACCGTCTTTTCTCACCTTCTTTTTTTATTTTATTTTCAGGAGCTCAGACCAGCTTCACCTTTGAGCTGCCGAACCACAAGCTGTGCTTCCAGTCCAAAGTGTCCCCGGTGGACATGTCCACCATGTCCCCCTCGGCCAGCCTCACCCTGCCCCCGGTCACCATGTCGGGCGAATACATCATGGAGGACCACGACAGCCACTCGGACCAGGGCTGGGCCCCGGACGACTTCCCCGCCAAGCCGGGCAACTACCTGCAGGGCAACTACCTGCGCTGCGTGGCCGAGGTCAGCCCCCCCCCCTCCCCCCCCCCCCCCCCCCCCCTACCCCCTTCCCCCCCCCCCCCCCCCCCCCACGGTGAGGCCCGCTCAGCCTCCTGTCTCTGGTCGCAGATCGGCTCGTTTGAGCACAACCTGACCACGGACCTGCTGAACCACCTGGTGTTCCTGCAGAGGGTCTTCATGAAGGAGGTCAACGAGGTCATCCAGAA